TAGACTTAACATAAAATCCCATCTCTAACGCGAAAAGTAAACATTTTTTTTAACAGATTTAAACTTGTCAGAATGGATAGGCCTAACCAAAGTTGTACAAGAGTTTTAGTAACACACGGATCTCTAAATTCTTATGATCAACGTTTAACAAACAGAAGAACACCTTTTGCTTGGTATAATAACTGGTAATATGGCCATAGTATATTAACTCCCAAATCAACAAAGTTAAATACTTTCTCTAGTCTATAGTTTTTTTATTACATAAGGCACAGATCATCTGGAAAATCACATTGTCCAACAATTTTTGAAATTTAATGGCAAATAATTCTATCACACCAAGCAACCAAATTGTTAAGTCTGTTTGCAACATACACCTTTTATATATTGAAGTATATGATTTAAAAAACTTTACGTCGTCGGCATATAATAAAATTTTTGAGTTTTCAATTACAGAAGAGATATAGTTAATAAATAACAAGAACAAAATCGGACCAAGAAGACTACCATGCGGAACACCTGAAGAGATATTAACTGAATCTGAAAGTGTATCATTGAATATCACACTATTATAAAGATAAAAAGATACCCATTGAAGGAATCTTGGCTGAAAGTCAAAAAGATCAAGTTAATGTACGAGATTAGAGAGATTAACGACACATGGGTTCCTCACGAACTGAAAAAAACGCATTTAACGCAACGCATTAACAGCTGCGATTTGCTAAAGAAACGTAATGAAAATTATCCATTTTTAAAACGAATGATAACTGGCGATGAAAAATGGGTTGTTTACAACAATATCAAGCGGAAAAGATCGTGGAGCAGGCTAGGTGAACCAGCTCAAACAAAATCAAAAGCTTGTATTCATCAAAAGAAGGTTTTGTTACATTACAGAATAACGTTATTTAGTTCCATGAAAAAATTGTCTTTCATTTTTTAAAAAATCCACTTGCAGTAAATGTTGTGTATCACAAGAAAATAATTTGTTTAACGTATTTAATTTGAATTTTAATCGATGTTGTGTATCAAAAGAAAGTAATTTGTTTAACTTATTTAATTTGAATTTTAATCGATGTTGTGTATCAAAAGAAATTTATTTGTTTAATTTATTTAATTTGAATTTTAATCGATGTTGTGTATCAAAAGAAAATTATTAATATTTCTTTTCTTCTGAATTGTTAGTGCTATTAGTTTTTAAGTTAATTGTTTTTCGCTTTTAGTCTTTTAAATCCAATTAAAAAGAGTTGATATTTTGAACTTTACAAATTATATATACTTCATTTTATGTATTCATTTAACTGTTTTCTTTTTTTTTAACTTTCTACTTTACAAGATTTCCAAACCTTCTGTTTCACTAGTCTTTTCACCACTTTTGACTAGTGACCTACTTGACACTAATTTTAAATATAATATAATTGCAAAAACAAAGAAAACAAGTAAGGAAGGGCTAACTCACAAAGTCAAATAGTATACTCGTTTGAAATTTCTTTGTGGATTGACTGATATTTTCGGTAGAAGGTCAACTATAGGCACTGGGGTCCACATATTTAGTACTTAGGGGCTTGAACAGTTTTGGTTCGATTAGAACAATTTTTGGCCGCAAGGTGGCATATTTTAATCGCATTATTCACGCAAAGTTTTATCCCGATACAGTCATTGTTGTCTGATTTGCATTGTGGAAAGTGAAATAATCAGATGGAATTTAAAATGGTGTTATATGGGAAGTAGGCGTGGTTGTAGTCCGATTTCGCCCATTTTTGCACTATGATATAGAAATATGAAAAGAAAGTTATGCACCGAACTTGGTTGGAATCGGTGAAGTAGATCTCGAGATATGGGTTTTCACCTAAAAGTGGGCTGTGCCACGCCCACTGTCTAATTTTGAACGCGGTTCCTATAAAGTCATCTCATACCATCCCAGAGATAAAATTTAATGTCTCTGGCGTGTTTAATGCTTGATTTATCGCGCTTTTAGTAGTTTTTAACAGTACCGTTATATGGGGAGTGGGCGCCTGTATGGGCCCTGTATACCAAATAAGAGTCTTGTATCTTGTTGTGGAGCTTAGTTATGGCAATTTATTTGTTTTTGAATAATGGCGTTTTGTGGGCGTGGTCCGATTACGCCCATCTGCAATACCAACCGTCTCACGGTATCAAGAAACATGTCTACCAAGTTTCATAAAGATGTCTCAATTTTTACTCAAGTTAGAGCTTGCACGGATGGACGGACGGACAGACAGTCATCCGGATTTCAACTCGTCTCTTCATCCTGATCATTTATATATACATAACCCTATATCTAACTCGATTAGTTTTAGGTGATACAAACAACGGTTAGGTGAACAAAACTATTATACTCTGTAGCAACAGGTTGCGAGAGTATAAAAAGACAATTGGAAAATCATTAATATTATAGAAGATGCAGTTATTAACTGTGAAAAAATTTTGATCTATTGACAATTGTAAAAAGGAATTTAATCAAGCCTTCTGTATTAAAGGGTGATCCATTTCGAGTTTCCTACTTTTTTATAGGAAAAAAAATAGAAAATTCAAATTTAATAAGAAATGTTTATTATCATTCGAATGAACATTCTTTGGCATTTAGTTTTTAAAGATTATCTCTTGCAAATGGTGGCCGCGGCAACATCTCAGAGGGTCCATCCAATTTTCGATGACTCGTTCGAACATTTCGACTGGTAACTGGCGAATGACACGCTATGAATCATCTCATTGAAACCCAATGTCGAAAAGATCACGAACTTCAATTTCAGCCATCAAATAGTCGGTTATCATGGCGCGATAACGGTCGCTATTGACAGTTACGTTCTCACGGGCCTCATCGCTGAATAAATTTGTCTCGAAAACTTCAAATCTTTTTGAAATTTTTCAAGAGCCTATAGAGCGAAGCGGTGTCGCTTGGGAAGGTCGAGCGGCTTTAGTTCTTTAGAGTTCTTGCACAAGCTGGTACGTGTCCATACGTCAGTCCGAGCTGCTGCGAACGGCGCCGATACGACCCTCCACTGTCTTCGTGTACACTCTCAGCTACGGCCGCTATATTTCCTTCACTGCGTGCTAGACGTGGTCTATTTGGTCGAATATTATCCAATAATGAATGCTAGCTCTCATGATGTTGACCATAAGTTGAGCGAAGCGCGAGTTATTATCGTTTTTTACGATATGAGAAAAAAGAAATAAGTTTTCACTACGCCGAAGTGCGTGTTCTTTATTCATAATCTTTAGACTAACTAGTTTACATAAATCTTAGTGCTACTTATACTATTGAGCTGTATCGATAGTTATCTGTTTACGAACAGATAGAACTATTCGTTTCTATTGTTATATTTGGGTTGTTATTGATAGTGCATTTCTATTGTTATATGTTCTTATCTCTGATATTTATATTTTACAATGTGTGTTGTACATTTCAAGTGTGTTAGCTGATAGATATGTTTACATATGCTTATTTTGGTTTTATGTATTTATGTCTAATAAGTGTTATGTCACTTATATATAAGTATTTATGATATGTATGTATGTATGTACATGTGTATGTTTGTATATATGTACATATGTATGCGGTGTGCGGCTATGTCGTTAACTCGCGCGAAACACATTCAGAACGTGAATTTTCGTTATAGAGTTGAACGATTTGCAAACGTGTTTAGGCGTAAGTCTTTCCACGATGGAATGCCAAAAAATACTGAACAAAAATAACATAACAGCTTAACACGAACGACGTGTGACCTGTCGAAAAGAGACTATAGAAAAAAGTACCTCTACTTGGATCACCCGTATACATTAAAAAATTAACACTTATAAAAGACGAGCAATGTTGACAGAGTGAAACACACAGTTTTGAAAAGCATGGATATATTGAATATATTTAGTTGTTTTTGAATTTGAGCAATATTAAAATATTAAATTAAATAACATATATATATATATATATATAATATGTAAAACAATGCAGGAAGGCCGGGGCAATACTTTTAGGTTTTGGTAAAACTTTATACGAAACCATAAATAAATTAAAATCATATTTATCTTACTTACTTTCTTATATCTTACCAACTTACTTATATTATTGGTCATAGACTCTACTAAAATCAATTTAACGAACAGACATCACTATATTTATCACATTAGCGCAAAATTTTTTACTACCGAATTGAAAAATACTAAAAGAAATATTTTGGCTTAATTGTGTTAAGCAATCTTCCATTAAGATATATCCGATATAAACTCAACCAATGGGATGAAATTTTATATAGTGCGTTTATTAGAAATGTAAACTAGAGGCATAAGCCATTATATTAGTGATATGGTTCACTCATATTCAGCACGAAACGACATTACGGTTAAGAAAATACTTCATTTCATTAAAACATAACATATATTTACCCATACATATGTATAAATAGTTTGAAATAAGCTGGATAATCGCAATTACTCTATTGGGACTACGGAAGGTCTAAGCAGATTATATCATGTTCCAACCAACACTAAACCACGAGATTTAGGCTGTTGAGTAGACTATCTCACTAATATTTTAAATTTAGCAAGAGACAAAAATGGCACTTATTAGTCTCGTCACCGAGAAGATTTGAAGCTAGTCCATTCGAAATCTAACTGTGCGATTTTGATTTAGGGAAATTTATCACATTACCACAGCTGATTTAGACACTATAAACTGTCAAAGTGAAAAAAATTAAACAAACAAATAAAATAAATATTAAAAAATTAAAGCAATATGAAGTAACTAAGTGAAAATGGCAGAATGAAATGAAATCACTTCAAATTTTTGGTGGGAACATGATATAACATTTACAGATTTACTCCAAAACCTCAAATACAAACAAATGGAAAAAATCAAATCAGTAAAAAACATTAATTAATATTTCTGATACATATTCAAAGACGGGGCACATCAATTTTAGAGAAGTGTAAGTCAATACTCAACTGTACTAGACTACGTAAATGCATATATAATAATAAAACAAATATGAAGTTAACATACAGTTTTAATATGCCGCGGAACGCTTATTTATACACCTCACAAATTAAGAAAAATGCAGATAATCTAGAAAAAACAGAAGAATCAATTTCCATTCAAAAAGTTAAAAAGATAGTAGTTTCCAAATAAATTTAGTATCATCGTTTATAGTTAGAGTTACGATACGTATGTCAATAATACAGCCATAATTCTCTACAAAAAAAAAATTCGTTCACGAATGCACAAAGCCTTTCTGTATCGATTGGAACAAAAAGTACTTAGAAGGAGCAAGTTCTCGGCTATAAGGCCGGTGAGGCAAAACTTCCCAGCCGCTGTTTTCCAACTAAATAGTTTTTAACCGAAATGAGGCCGAGCCTTGCCATGATGGAAAATTATTGCCTCGCGTCTAGTCGCAAATTCTGGGCGCTTTTCGGAAATCGCTTGCTTCAATTTGATGAATTGTTATAGGTAGCATTTAACTCCTCGGTTTTAGAAACTTACAATACAACACGCCCTTCTGATTCCAGCAAATACAGAGCATTACTTTGGCGTCATAGATGATCAACTGTGCTGTTGATTTGGCTGGTTGGTCAGGTTTCACATATGGTTTTTGCTAATTTGCTGTGACATAATAACTATTGGAAGTAAGATATTATATATTTAACTATTTTAACATATTAATTGTGTATATATGTATAACAATACTAAATTTGTTGCCATTCAAATTATGAATACATCTGCTTATTATTTAATTATACGCGTAAACTACAATATATATTACTTACTGTCAATTTTTTTCCTGGATTATCACATGAGTGATAATTAACGACACGTTTTGCTGCATCCTCATCATCTACATATGGTGCAATTTTTAGTGTTAGATCTCTTTTAGAACGTGAAACTTCTGTTTGCAAAGCTTCGGGTGTACTAACCGGAATTCCATTAATTTCTAGTATTACATCACCTGTATTCAAGAGACCTTGCTTATCAATAATTCCTCCTGAAAGTATACGTGCCACCGACAAAAAGTTTTGTGAATTAATTTCAACTGTGAATCCCAAAGGCTTATTTTCAACACGGCGAAGGCCCACTACTCTTATCGCTTCTATTGGCATTTTATTGGAAAGTACTTCACAAGGGAAAAGATAACACTTTTTATGAGAGGCTAATATTTGAAACTTATTTGAATTTTTCTTTCCAGATTCGTATATATGTTCATAGATTTGTCCTATTTCATCATGAGCACGTAATAACTCCTAAAACAGAAAAAATGTGTATTTTAAAATAAAAAATTTACAATAAATAATATACTTGTAGTAATTAATTTCTAATCATGATCATATCTACAATACCTATATATATAATTACGCTAAAAAAAGTTTCTCTTTTTGACTGTGTTGCCGTTGACATATATGGATAAAATTTATACCGTTTGAAGAGTGAAGACGTGCAGAAGTGCACAACTTTATTATCGCATGTACGTCAACGGTAACACAGGTGAAAATGCGTTGGCGCCAATTTACCAACTACAAGCGCGGTGGCGCGGTTTCATTGGTCGATATTATTTCTCCTTTTTTGCGCGTCACACTTAACACAGTCGTATACAGAAGTACATTTCGTATTCGTTCTGTATAAGTTGAATACCCCTGCGGGCAGGGGATAGAATATGCCCGCTGCAAGGCATGCCTGTCGTAAAAGGCGACTAAAAGCCAATATGCACTATGACAGTTATTATGTACATTGCTCAGTAATATCAGCATAGTATGTTGAGGAATAGTGCTATAATACTCAGCTTGAACTGATATTATAAACACTTTAAATGAAAAAGCGAATAAAAAGACATTTGAAGTTCAAGCGACAAATGTCACCAGTCATTTGAGTAATGGGGAGCTTAACTGGTAGTAGTTTAGGCTACGCAGTCTGACCGGAGATTTTCCGGTACCACGGGGAGCAGAAAGCCCTTGGACTTCTGTTCAATCTGCTCATTGGGTTCGGCCCTTTGGGGAGTATCGTGGTGGCTGTGGTTTAAACCTAAATGCTGGAAGAACTGAATTTTCAGTTCGAAAAAAGAAGTTGCACAAGCAACTGGGTGCCGTACCCGAAAACGGAAGAGGTTTTAGGTCGGCCTCGAATCACACCAAGATGGTAGTGTGGACCCAGACACACTGCCACTGGTATCCAAATAAATACTTGGAAATAGCTCGTATTGTTTGGGGCGCTTATCAACGCATTGTGTTAATACGTCGTGTTTTGGAACACCGTGAGGTTAGGCCGTCGCCGGCAGGTACTCTCGTAAATCAACAACGAAAGTTGTATAAGTTGAAAATACTGTACATATATCGGATAATTGCGTATCGTTTGCAGCGGACTTGTAGCTACGATTTTTTTCACCTTTAATTGTATTTTGTGTGTTGCAACACTGAATTCTATTACAATTACATTTTTAAAGCATTTGTTTATTTTGGCAGAGGATAGGAATTTGTTTGGCAATTTATGACGGGAGCAAGATGTTGTGGAAAGTCGCAGTGTCGAAATTGTGGCTTCATTAAAGAATGAACGTGATCAACCGAAAATTAAACGCGATTCATTGAATAATAACTGCGATCAATTTTAGGTTAAATGCGACCAAAGGATCAACGCAATAAATTGCGTCGGAATGTTGAATTTCTTCAGAAGAAGGTGCGGTTTTACGAAATTACTGATTCCTACGCCGATAACTTTCCGATATCACCTGAAGAACAAATGTACGCAGCAGATGAAAAGGTAATTTCTTTGATGAAAAGATCTCAAAATGGAGCATAAGTTCAAGACTTCATCGGTATTTTATACAAATTAATTTAACATCCCTTTGATTCCATTATTCATTCAAAGAAGAAATAAGTCAAAACTAGAAACAGAAAAAATGATTTTACATGAGATTGAATTATAAATTTTAATTTTTTGAAGTGAAACTTCTTTGCGCTGTAATTCCAGTATCGAATGAAACGAAAAAGCGACAGGAAAAGGGAGGGAAAGGCGCGCAATCATTTTCGGATAGGAAAAAGCGAGAGCAGCATGCGCGGAGGGGCATTAGGCACGGTAGGTAACTCCACAATGTAGGTACGTGTAAGCACTGAATATCGAATATTGACCCGAGTATGGCAAGTTCTTATGGGAATTTTATAGGGATTATCTATGTTGTTAAGTATCCCTAGCACGTGTCGTCAGTGTCGTTATATAGTGTTTCTAAGTGTTCGAGGTTATATAGAGAAGTGAGATGTGCTATTAAATAGTGTAAATATTAATCAGAACTGTATATCATGCCTAAATCTAATGCTCAGTCATGTAAAGAATACAGAGATCGACTGCAAGAAGTGAAGAAAAACCCGAAAATAGTACTGAACATGTCCGGGAATACTGAGCAAGGAAGGGGGCTATCAATTTACAACCACCTCCGAACCCTTCACTGGCAGAAAAAATCGAACAGACCGATAATTTTGGCGATGGTTATAAGCCTTCGGCGACGCTTAACGCTCCAAATAGAATTTTGCACGGTATACATGTTCCACGTGTTGATGCAGGCATCCCATGGCCAACAACAAAAGAGGATGACGTGAGAGGCATAACAGTGAGCCCTGAAATCCCTTAGAAAGGCTTCACTCGATTTAAGAATATACATAAATAATTCGATAAAAAATTCAAGATTAATTCTTTCGGTTTTCCTTGCTCCATCTGTGATCGATTGTGGTTCCAATTAACATAGTGAAAATTTACTTTACAAATACCTGCCCATCTTTCACCCCTCGATTTGGTATCAGAAAGACTGAAAGACAATATGGAATATATGGGCAGATCATCCAGTTAAAGTGGATACAGTGGTGAAACATCTTCCACGACATCTTGATGACGATCATTGCATCAATGTGCGCATTAAGAAAAATGAAATTCAAAAGTCCAGGTATTTGAGTGCTCTCATCAACAAGAGAAAAATGCTTGGCTGCAGCATCTAATAACGACACCACTATATCAATTGTATGACATCAAAGTTGATGACTAATTTTTTAACAATAAAGCCAATAAGGACCAGATACCCGAGAAGCAATCAGCGAAACTATTCCCATATAGAGTCTGTCCAACAACAGACTTTGCTGTGGAATGATGATAAATATTTGCGTATTGCACCAGGAGAAATGAATGTTCCACAAAGTTTACTCTTTGATCAACACGCTGAAGAGCTCTCATTTCCTTCAATCTATTGTAGCCAATTTCGAACCTTCAGGGAAGAAGTGCGAGTAACACCGTTCATGATGACTACAAGTGTATTGAGGCGCTCTGATCGACGTGGAGTAACACCTTACCACCTGGCCTACATGGCTATGAAAATAGCTAAACAATTGTATCGAGAGTAATCTCGCTTTTCTGCGTACTATCTCCAATTCTGCTTGATATTGGGCTGAACGAAAAAGATATCTTTTCGCTATGATCCGACATTTGGGGAAAGCATCAATATTCCTCACTGTGAGTGCCAACGAGGTCGGGAGAAGCTATTACAAACTTTCAATAAATTGAAAAATAATGAAGCTGAAATATCAGCAGATATTGCTGCACAGTTGAATTTTATTGAAAGGGGTACCCTAATTAATAGGACGCAGTGACTTGTGCTTTATACTTCAACAAATTGGTGAATGTGCTGGTGACTATTTTGCAGTCTAAGAAGAATAGCCCTTTTGACCAGTATCGTGTAGCCCATTATTTTAAACGTGACGAATTTCAACATCGCGGAAGTCCACATGCTCACATTCTTTGGCTAGATAATGCACCAGGAGATCCACTTGTGAGTAATAAAGAGAAAGCTGTAGACTTGATTGACAAATTATCTTCAGTATCACCGAGTGAAGCATCAGGAAATGAAAAGCTTGTAACTCATAGACAAACATTTACGTGTTATAAGAAAATATCAGCGAGCGGACCACAAAAATGTCGCTTCGAAGCTCCTTTCATGCCATCTAGGAAAACCACAATCTTGACACCTATGCAAAAAACTGAGGATGGATTCAGCAGATACGCAGAGCGATATAAGGCTATTCGAGTCAATCTCGAGAAGACCTTCTTTGAGTATCGGATCAGTTTTGATGAAGATTATCAGAATATATCGAGGGCTGAAATCAAATAGCCGCGAGTTTTTGTAAAAAGGCAACCATCTAAAAAATGGATCAACGCGTTCAACCCCTCCATTTTCAACGTCTTGAAATCGAATATGGATATTCAATTCATCACTGAGGAATATTCATGTGCACAAACTTGTTGAATATGTTAACAAAAACAACAGAGAGGTAAGTAATTTACAAAGGCAGATTATAACGATCATGGATGAGCACCCGGAATTTGACATCGTAGAAATAACCAGAAAAATTTGTGTAAATATTCGCAATACCGTTGAAATTTAAACTCAGGAGGCTGCGTGGTACTTACTACGGGAACCAATGTCCAAGAGCTCAGTCTCAATTGCCTACATACCTACAGTATGGCCAATAGAACGACAGCGAATTGGGAAACTGCAGAAGGAATTGGAGGAGATGAAGTGCGGCGAGGATTCAACTGATATATGGTAGCAGAACTGTTTCATTAAATACGAAAAAAGGCCTAAAGAACTGGAAAATAAAACACTTGCTCAGTTTGTCGCTAATTATACACAATCTCCCCGAAGAGGACCGGCCTTCCCTGAATCAATCCATTCGAACAACTGTATAATAATGAAAACTAGGAGATAAACAGCGATTTACAATTAGCTACATTGAATAAACTCGGCGCAATTGCGAAAAGAAGAGAAAACTTGATGCCAACCAATGAATTCCACCAGATTATGAGAATGGCACACCTCCTCTTATGTCATCAAAGTCTTAATGGAAATTGGTGGGCTGAAATTCTATGAGCTCGATCAGGTGATGCGACAGGCCAATCAAGCATTCTCAGCGATCCTCACGAAAATTGGGAATGGTATGGCGCTGCTCAACAGACGAAACTGATCGACTTTGTCCTAATAGAATTCGCTTATTACTCACAAATAACGCTGTCACAGAGCATAACGGATTTTGAATGCGACTGAGGTTAGGATCGTCTTAGTATCAACCGATATCTACATAGGCTGCAAAAATCATGAACAAGAATCATTTGTACGACAGAAACTTCACAAGATTTTTGTTATTGATACTGGTACTGACATCTGGACAGCAGTAACTATCTCTCAAAGAACTGCCAGCATTCTCCTCAACATACA